GGCTATGTGGGTGCCAACAATACAGAAGAGATCTTGGACTTCTTGCGCCGAGTGCCCGCCATGAAGCTGGTCGAGGCGGCGCCCACAACGCTCACAGCGGACGATCAGCGCAACAACATTGGCCTGCCCTTCGTGCCCGTCGTGGAGGGCTACTGGAACAAGGACTCGCTGGAGGAGACTTACCTGGAGCAGCCCTTCCTCACCGAGCATCCCAGCGATATGTACGACGCCCACAACTTCAACAGCGAGGTGCCCTACATGACGGGCTACAACACGCACGAGGCGATGCTGTTCATCAGAAGTGAGTCGAGGAGCGGACGAAGTAAATCCTCTTAAATCATATCTATATATCTCTTTCACTAGGACTGCGCAAGAATCCGCAGCTATTGAATATTATCGAGAACGACTTTGGCCGGCTCGTGCCGCACGATCTGAATGTGAGCCTTGCCCATGACAGAGTCACGCGCGAAATACGCTCCTTCTATCTGGGCAACAAGCACGTTGGCCTCGAGTCTGTGGATGAAATGATAGCAGTAAATGATCTCTTATATATTACATATATTGCGTATACATTAATTGTGGCTTTCCCCTTAGCTGCTGACTGATCTGATGTTCCTGCAAGGCATTCGCCGCACCGCCAGGAACCACGCCAAGTACGGCAATGCGCCGGTCTACTTGTATCGCTTCTCCTTCGACGGCGCCCTGGGTCTGTACAAGCGCATGCTGGGCATCCCGCGGCCAGGTGTGTGTCACGGCGACGAGATGGGCTACCTGTTCAAGTTTGGCTTCCTGAATCTGAGTCTAGATCCAAAGTCCATGGAAGTGCAGGTCAAGAACCGCATGGTGCGCATGTGGGCAAACTTTGCCAAATACGGGTAAGCCATCCTGAGCTCTTGATGCAATCGAAGACGCTGACCTCAATGACTTTTGATTTCAGCACGCCCACGCCCAACTATGAGGATCCCCTGCTGACTGCCAAGTGGGCACCCATCGATGCCACAAATGTTATGAACAGTCTCAACTATTTGGACATCTCGCACGAGCTGAACATGAAGACGAATCCCGAGCCGGAACGACAGAGATTTTGGGATGAAATGTACCAGCATTACAATGGTGCGGCTATGTAGAGCTCTTGGCCAGGGCCACATATATATTTACGCATCAACCATGCACATTGCTCACCCAGCCACACCAACATACACCCACACACACACACACTCACATTTTGTAAAAATTTTGCCATTTTGTGAAAGAGTGAGCAGAACAGAATATTTAATGCAGATTCCATTGTAAAATTATCGTAGATCGTAGTCAGTAGTTCGTAGTTAAATATTTTTTATTAGTGAATAGCTTGTACATAAGTGTCGCAGCATTTATACACGATTAATCAAACATAAAATGTCACTTGCCCACATCAGTGCCCAAACACACACACACACACGCCAATACGTAGCTTAAGCAACTTACTTATAGCATACCCAAAGCCGTACAACATTTCCTTACTTCATATCAGGTGTAAATAGTCAAAGCTAAAAGTTATTCGATATTCAATCAATCATAACCTAAGCACATCACAGTCCATAATTCTGTTTGTCTGTACGCGGAATCAATCCGAGTCACGTCTTGAAATTTTTGTAAAATAAATCTAAATATCTTTTAAAATATTTAAAATTTGAATTTTGTATTTATATTTGGTGGTGGCTATCGACTTAAAAGCGATATTTCACTAATTGAAAGCAATTTGAGCTCAAAGTACACCTTGAATAAGCAAACAGTTTGCATTTTATGCTAGTGAGAAAGAAATCGTAATAAAAGCAGACAGATATGGGAAAACTGTTCTCTTCTTTTTTTTTCAGAAAGCTCAAAATTCTGCTTGAAAATAATTGGCGGTGATAGGTGAGATATATAGATGATAAATGTATTTAATTAGAGCTAGAATTCTTCAGAGAACTGATGCTAAAGCATCAGCTGCTGTTTTATTTGAATCACTTCAGCTAAATCTATAGCATACTTTTCTGCTGCACAAAGTACTGCATGCAACTCCGCTAGAGGGCGCACTCGCAACAGCAATATGCCAAAACATAGTTTTAGGAGAATCAAAATAAATATCTATTAAATTAACTCATTTATTCGTTGGCAGTTTTCATTGAAAAAAATATGTATGTAAACTAGTATGTCATGTGCTCAAAGTAAAATTAGTTTTAATATTGGTTTGTGCTAAAAAAAAAAATTAGAAATATTAACTTTTTGTATTGAATATATGATCCAAATAGAAGAACTATGCATTTGATTCTGTTTTTAAAAATACTTAACTTGCATAAGAAGACCGAAAAGAAAAATTAAATAGTCCGCTTCATGATTGACGCAAATCGGCGCTTTTCAATGCATTAAAAACCAATTAACACTTACCTATTCAACGTGTCACGACAACAAAGTGCCCAATGATTGCTTACAAATTTGCACTTGGCGAGTACACACACATACACAGATATGAAACGACGCAGCTGCAACGCATGACCCAGCATCGACGGATTGTGGAGGTGTGGGGTACATAGAAGCTGGGGCGCACGGCCTCTGCCTCTATCTCTGCCTCTGATTCTGGCTGTGCCTGTGCATAACTTGCGGTTGCTCGCTCACTGTCATGCGGCGTAACTAAGCTGATTATTCAATTATCACAGCTGCTCGGGTGCTCTTCATCAGTGTCGGCGGCTCACAATTTTGAGTGACATAATTTACGTGGCTGCCGTTAGCATTAGCCTGCCGCAAGCCCTAAGCCCCAGCCGAAGTACGGAAGAATATTGAACGTGAGCTGCCGCATAGATACAGACAGGCACTGGATACAGTTTCAGTAGACTGAAATTTGAGATCAGTAACACTAGAATTACTCACAATACATGAACAGATTCGTCACATACCTGCCTTGACTAACAACACCAAAAATATTCATTTATTTGCTATCGCACTCACAATGGCACGCTCCACATCCATAGAGAGCATAAATGAGCTGACCTGCATGCCGCCCTTCCCGGTGCTTCCGCGCCCACTCTCCGACATCAGCGCCTGCCCGCTGGCTCGCCGCCTGCCGGCCAAGGCGCTGCGTGTCTGCTTCCTGCGCAACATGAATCAACATTTTGGCGGCGTGTGCTTGCCCGTGTCCAAGAAGCGCTACCAGGAGTTCCAGGCGCTGCTGGAGGCAGTCACGGTGGCGTTCCGCCCTCACGTCTACCTCAAGTCGGCCATAACTCGCATTTTTCGCATCAATGGCACCGAGCTGCTGTCCGTAGACGACTTCTGCGAGGGCGACATTGTGGCCTGCTGCTGCCAGTACGAGCCTTTCATGGACGTGGGCTACAATGTCAATCAGCACTACATGCGGATTCTGGGCTCCCTCATCCGAATGCGTGAGAAAATTGAAGAAGACGACGAAGAGGACTCGCCTCTGTCAGACGACGATGGCGTCATTGACTACAAGAGCTGCGAGCTGCCACAAGCCATACTCCTATACCTGAACGTGACTAAGCCCATCTGGATAAACAAGTCGACGGTGATATTTGAGGGCACGGGCCGAGCCCGCAAGGACAAGGACTACATCATCAAAATGGTAGACAAGGAGCACATGTGCTCGCGCACCAATGACACCTACTTTGAGATTGAAATCTTGCGCAAGCTGCAGGATCACCCGAACATCATTGACCTGATATACACGGTGGAGCAGTTCAAGTACATTTACATTGTCATTGAGCGCCTGGACTGTGACCTCTATGAGCTGCTGCAGAAAAAGCAAGTCTTTCCCGAATCGCTGGTCCAGAAGGCCATGAATGACGTGAGCAAGGGCCTGGCATACATCCACGCGTGCCAGATCATCCATCGTGACTTGAAGCTCGACAATCTGCTGGTGCAGCTCGACTACTCGGCCGCCATGGAACCCGCTGTGGTGGCGGTCAAGATAAGCGACTTTGGACTGGCCACCTACTACACGGGCCGGGAGATCTACCAGTGCTGCGGCACGCCTCACTACATGGCGCCCGAGCTGATCAACTGCACGGGCTACGACTTCTCTGTGGACCTGTGGTCGCTGGGCGTCACGCTCTACTATATGCTCTTCAGTCGGCTGCCTTTCGCGCACTGCGAGTGCGATCCCCTCGTTGTGCAGGAGTTCATTCGAAGGAATAACTACCACATACCGCCCGAGCTGAAGATGAAGGTCAGCCTGCCAGCTCAACAGCTTGTCAAGTCGCTTCTGGTAAAATTTCCGCAGCATCGACTGTCGGCCATCGAGGTGTGCCATCATCCATTCCTGATGAATAGGCGGAGCGGGTCGCTCTAAGCTCTGAAGCTGTCACAAACATTTTATTCTTTTACTCACTTTAAATTATTAACCGCACGCCTCAAAATAATTGGGAAGCAAATGTAATAAATTTTATGATGCGTGACTTTGGTGAGGCGCTCATTGAGCCTTGCGCAATCAGCGACGCGTAAATATTCAAATATTAAGTATACGCCTTGGCTTTTGATAAATTGTCCCCAATTGCTCTGCCTGCTGTTATCAGACATCCAGATACACAAATATATCAAAGGTGACTACTTTCATGCCCACGGGGAGAAAGTGCATCGCAAATATTACGTATACGCTGACCTTGCGACGTAGCATTGGGTAGCAAGGTCACGCCCGCTAAAAGTGACGACTTTTTCCACTTCTTCTCTGGATTGCAACATCAAATACAGATAAGTAGCACTTATCGCGCTTATCTTCCGCCTCGTTTTCAATTTAAAAATCATTTCAATTGAACTTTTCTCGTATCCACGTATCAACGCGACAATTTCAGCTGGCTGTCTGCGTATCTGTTTCGGCATTTGTATGTGTGAGAGCATCAATCTGCAGTCTGAGTGGGAACTGTCACTGCGAATGAGTGTATGTGTGTGTGTGCGTAACTGAGCTCATTTACAGCGCGCCGCCTTTTGTTCACAACTTTTGTTTAGTTTGATATATTTTTCTTGCCGTCGCAGTCGCAATAGCAGTCGCTGTCCACGTTGCTCGAGCCGTCATTTAATCCGTTGGTTGGACTTACGGAGTAGCTTCTGTGGCGTTGTCATCGCTATCCGTGTATAGTTTCTGTGGCTTGTCTGTGTTTTGCTCTGTCTGCAGCTGCCCGGCCTGCCCTGTCTATCTGTTCATTTCTGGTTCGGCGCGCGTGCAAAAACAAAGCTCAATTTTAGCGGCGTGCGCTGGCCGTACATAAAAAATAGACTGAATTGCTAAAGATGTGCTAAAGCTTGTTTGCATAACGAAAAAGAAGAAGAAAAGAAAACAAGCAGCAAGAAAATTCGATATGCTAGTCTTAAAGGTGTCAATTGATTAAAGAGGTGCTAAAAAAGCTTGAATCTCCTAAGAGCCAAAAATCGCTTAAAGGTGTGTGTGTTTGCCCAACAGATATTTGATGTATTTTTAACACAAGTGCTATAAAGTGCTATTCAGAATACAAATATATTTATATCCAATTTAAATATTCTGTGCTTTGAAATTATAAACAATTTTACCGTTTATCTGATTAAGCTTTGCAGTTTACATCATCCTAAAGTAAACCAAGTGATATAAAAGTGAAGAACTTATGACTGTATATATATTTCGATAATTTATTCGACGAGATATCAGTATATATATACATATGCAATTGATAACAAACTGGTTGCTCTCGTTAACCTGCTCATCTCTGGTTACGTTCGCAAATCTAGTTATGTGTGAAATATTTGTCGCACTTCGCTGCGGCCTGCTCACCAGTTTTCTGTTTGCGCACTTAGCACAACAGAATAGCTGGCAAAATATTGTGATTTACAAGTACTTTAAACTGCCATCAACTGCCTTTCACAGATGCGTTTTAATTTTACAACTCACTCGGCAGCGAATACGACGCCGGCTGCAACAGCAACGACCACGGCGACGGCCAGGTCCAATGAGAAGTCCGCCAAGCCACTCAATCGGCCAACGACCATCGAGGAGGACCCCGATTCGCTGGACAGTGTGATCAGCAATCCGCAGTCGTATCCCATAACGATCGTGCCCAATCGTCCGGCCAGCTTTTATGGCCTCTCCTCCACCAATGGCAAAGCCTTTCAGCGACAGCCCAGCTGCAGGTAAGTCGGCTGAGAGTTGAGCGGGGGAAGGTGGTACGGAGAGGGCGCGGCACCAGCCATTAGGCCTATGTTTACACTCAGCTCTTGTGAACTGCCTAAGTGCTGCCGTCAATAGACATTTATTAGTTAGTACTGCTCTAATTTCTATGGCAAACACTGTAAGCCAAACATTGCTGATGCCCTGGTTGGCCTGAGATCAGTGGTGCCAGCCTCCGATTCAGTCAAGTTTTGTGCGCGAACGGGTCAGTATGCAGGTACCGCTGACCGATGTGCAGGTCCTACAGGACGCTGGCGATGCGGAGGCCGTGGACGGCGACAGGGAGGAAGAAACGTTTGCGCATATGAAGGAGTGGAAGCGCCAGTATATCAGGGGCATCTCCCACACGCCCTCGCAGGCTGGCGTCTACTACGAGGCGCTCAAAGGATCCAGCCACTCGCTGGCCAAGGGGTATTTCCATACATACGCATACATACAAAAATATATAAATATGTTGCTTGCATAACGAGTGACATTCAACTTGAACTTGCTTGCGCTCAATCAGCAGCTCTCTCGTGTGTGTGTGTGTGTGTGTGTGTGTGTGTGACAGATACAAAAGTCTAAAATTACGATTTATTTTACTGATTAGCAGTGCGATGGTTATTTGATTTTAAGTGCTCCGTACGCCGTTTGCTGTTTGTCGTTTGCGGTTGTAATTTATACGGACGCCCACGCAGTCGCAGTCGGCTAGTTGCATTTTTACACAAGCTGCGCGCATTATCTAAACGAGAAGTCGCTCGAATGTTTTCCTATCTGTGCCATAGAAATCGGCTCATTAGCCAGCCCATTCAAATTTTGTCCCACTGTGTATAATGCGGCATTATACACCTGTCAAACGTGAAACGCCCCATGACTTGAACAGATTTTCAAAAGAAATTCAATGGAATCGTTTCTCAGCCGTTAAACGATCCGATTTAAGTTATTGGCCCATCACTATCACATCACGATTTATCAATCAATTGTGCTCACAATTTTCCCACACGTGAGCGATTATGAAATCATTTCCGCAGACGCCTGCCCCTCCCGACGGAGGACGGATCTGGCTGGAGTGTGGATTCAGATACTTTTGGCTGCGTTGGCGTCCACACACACACACACACACACATACACAGTAAAAGTAATTAACAATTAAGTAAGTGCGGCATCTCTTCAAAGCAAAGTGAATCATTTGATTGCCTTCGCTCATCTCGCACATTTTTGTGTTCGAGAGTTGTGGCAGAAATTCGATTAGCGGTTATTTATGGAACCAGCTCAGTGTCAATTAATAGCTCAAGCTCCAAGTGCCAATGGGGTTCAGAGCTAAGTTAATTGCCAGTGCGCCTGGGTCATGTGGGAGCTAAGCCCAAATCTTGCATTGACATTTTTTATGCAATTTTATCTCAGCTGCGATTCATGCAGCGACAATTGGAATTAATTAAACATTAATGTGCATATACTTTAGCTACCAGAAGACATCTCGCCTCGGCTGGAACCAGTTTAGTTCGTTACGTCTGACATTGGCAAATTAAGTGCGCCGTTAATTAGATGCACTTCATTTCCATATCCAAAAGCTGGCAAATACTTTGCTGCTCAAGTGTGCGCACTCAATTTAGACAATTAGCCGAGCTGCCGAGCTGCCGAGCTGCTGAGCTGCTGAGCTACTGAGCTGCTGGGGCAACTGGTGCAGGTCTCGCCAGGCAATTCAATTGCAGACCGACTAAGTGCCATTGAAATGCAAATGGCCTCGAAATAGATCTAATCCCAAATATAGCTGTCCATTTGTGGCGCAGATAACAAAGTTGAAATAATGAAAAAAGTTGAAAAAAGAAAAAACTACTGAGACTTTATTACTTTAACAAAGAAATTAACTCTTTGCCAGACTATACATTTTATAACATGTAATTTAGAAGTTAAGGGGTACAACATATTTTTGAATCTTCGAGAGAATTTATAAATACACATTCTCGGGATACCATTTGTTGACTTATTGCTTAAGAAATTTCCAGAATTAATAATTAAACAGACAAGAGCGCTGTAGTCGGGTCTTCTTGAATAGGAAATACCCTGAATTATGCGAAGAACTTACATTACACATATATCAAAAATTTAAAATTTAAAATGAGCAAAGTGAATTAAGTGAATTAAGTGACTCAAGCTAGCATTATTATTATTTATTTATTTTTTTAAGGAAGTCTTTAGCATATATTTTTACTTAAGTATTATTTAACATATAAATCTAGTAATTACTTAATAATTGCAGTAGTCCTATTTACAGTCATGTGCAGAATATGTACATCAATTCATATCTTATTTAATTAGCTTAAAGCCAAACACATTTATTTAGATAGGACTTTAGAGCGAGTTTCTCCTATTTGCTATTATTAATTTTAGCAAAGCCTTGCCACTGCAAGCGTCTTAGTGAACATGTAGGGAAGTGTCTCTGCTTGCATGTTTATTTATTTGTTCTTGGACAGCTTTTAGATTCAGATTAATTCTGTTTAGGGTGTGAAAGGTAAGCTTAATTTCTTCTTTTATGTATTTATTTTTATTTTTATTTTTTTTTGGCAATTTCTGCTAGTGCAAAGACTGTAACATATTTTCGGGCGGTTATTTAAATTTTCCTGCACGTCCATCTAAAGTCATCAATCGCTTTGTAGGTCTCGCAACTTTCGGCCTGGCAGCATGCGACGCGTGCGCCGTCGCGCCGTCTTCAAGAACGGCGACTGCAATGTGGTGCAGAAGCATCTGCAGCGCAGGCGGGTGCGCTTCCTCCAGGACATGTACACCACGATGGTGGACTGGCAATGGCGCTGGACACTGCTGGCCTTCGCAATGAGTTTCATACTGTCTTGGCTGTTCTTTGCACTGATCTGGTGGCTCATTATGTATACGCACGGTGATCTTGAGGAACTGCACCTGCCGCACAACCAGGGTAAGTCTATGTCACAGCTGAGCCAAGCAGATGAGCTGATGAGTATACTTTAGAGGAGTCCGGCTGGGCGCCTTGTGTCTCGGCCATTGACGGCTTCACCTCCTGCTTTCTGTTCTCGATCGAGACGCAGCACACGATCGGCTACGGCGTGCGCACCACGTCACCCGAGTGCCCCGAGGCCATATTCATGATGTGCTTCCAGTCCATATATGGCGTGATGTCATCGGCGTTCATGGCCGGCATTGTCTTCGCCAAGATGACACGCGCCAAGCAGCGTGCCCAGACGCTGCTGTTCTCCAAGCACGCGGTGATCTGCCAGCGCGACGGCTGCCTCTCGCTGATGTTCCGCGTGGGTGACATGCGGAAGTCGCACATTATTGGCGCCGGCGTGCGGGCCCAGCTCATAAGGACACGCACCACCAAGGAGGGCGAGGTGATGACGCAGCACTTCACAGAGCTGCAGATAGGCACGGACGACTCGGGCTCCGACTTGTTCTTCATCTGGCCCATGGTCATCGAGCATCGCATCGACGAGAACTCGCCGCTCTACAACATGAATGCCACCGATATGCTGCAGGACAAGTTCGAAATCGTCGTCATACTGGAGGGCACCGTCGAGTCGACGGGGCAGTCGACGCAGGCGCGATCGAGCTACATCAATACGGAGATCCTGTGGGGCCACCGCTTCGATCCCGTCGTCCTGTACAACAAGGACTTGCAGGCTTATGAAATCGACTATGCGCGCTTCAACGAGACCACCCAGGTGGACACACCCCTCTGCAGCGCCCGCGAGCTGAACGAGATCTACAAGATACAGGAAGGCTTCCGTACACCAGGTTTGATTTCATAACGATGATTATTCTCACAACTCTCTAATGCTTTCTGTCCATTGTCACTGCAGAGACGACCTTCACCATGCGTCAGTTGTCCAACAATCATTCCGATCAGGCCTCATAAGCATTTGTGCCGTTCAAACTTTGTTTTCCTATTTGTTGCTATCTACATATATATATATGCATAGTTTATAGTAGTTGTAGTTGTTGCTCCTCGTTTGTCAACCAGCCTGCTTCGTGTTCCCCCGTCCCCAAGTAAGTTGACCCATGGCAGTATCTGGAGATTTTGTAAAATAATCTCTCTCCATCTCACTCCTTAGCCTCTGCTCAGATGCGCAGCTCACCCAATCCCTCAACGACCTCCACGCTCTCCAACAGCTCCGGCTACAGTTCCTGGTGCGGCCATCCGCAGCGGCCGCGTCGCCTGCGCTGGCAGCTGTCGCTGCCCTTGCAGAGAGGCTGTTCTATCGACACGTGAAACTTACGAGTACTTTTCTTTGATTACTTACTGCTTACAAAAATAAGTTAATAAATGCCTGAGCTTTTAGTGTACACAAATTACACGTTCAGCGATTCATATAAATGACACATAATTGCCATTAAACCACTTCGACGGGTTTCACTTGGGAATCGGCAGTCGGCAGTCGGCAGTCGGCAATTGCGATTGCGCTATGCGACTCGGCCCAGCCCACTCATCAGGTATCATTAATAATCGCACTGCGAATTATCAAAGCAAAGGTGCCAAAAATTTACTCAGCACTTAGCCAAAGAAACAAGTATGAAAGCTCTAGTTGGTCGGTGCTCGACTAGGAGATACTCTGAACTAAACTATATATCTTTTAATTGTGCAGGGTAAGTAAGTAAGTATATAAGCAGATAATAGTCTTAATTCAAAATTAAATTTATATATTGCAAGAAAATAAAAACTAGTAACAACCGACAGTGCTTAAAAATATTACACGCCCCGAACTTGTTAAGTCGAGAGTTATAAAATGCAAATGGATTGAGCTCGTTGAAACTAAACCCATCTAGCTGGCTATGATTAATACCTAAAAATTTGCTAATTACTTAAATTGAAAAAGATTGCTAATAAAATATAAATAAAATAAAATAAATGAATCAAATAGTTCAGAGGTCCTCGATAACGAGCAGCGATAACTCTAATATAGAAATAATGTCGGACAAACAAACAGAAAGATGGACATGATGGACGGACGGATAGACATGGCTAAGGACTTGATTCGGCTTTTTTCATTGTCACATAATCAGGGTAAATTTCATTTTGATTGATATACTCAAAGCTGAGGCAAGCTTTGAAGGATTCTAAATTGACTCAGCTTGTAGTCAGTGTCAAAATTATATATACTTCCTGGGTCCGCCTTCTTCTGCCTGCCTTTTTAACATGCCCCGATTTCCAATTTTAATGTGGGTAACCACAACGTGTTTGTGTCCGAAGTCTGTTTCATTTGTGGGCGCGCGAATTGATGTGACCTGGAATGGCGCTAACGCAAAACATTCATATCCTTTTAATTGAAATTGAATCAATAACTCTTATTTGCGCAAACTAATCAACACTAAATTATAACACTCACAAACAGCTTGAATATTTATTATCACATTTATCACAGCGCCCAGCGACCAGCGACTGGGGCTAATGAAATGTGGGTGTGGGTCAGACATCTGTGTGCAGGCTGTGCGCTGTGCTGCCCCGGCCATGCAATGCCAGATTTCAGCAACTCTATTACAACAATTACAGTGGATATTCGAAAATGAAAACAAAATGAACACTGGCCTGCCATCGGCGAGGGGCGGCAACCGTTGAGTGCTGTGCCGTGCCATGCTGAGCTGAGCTGAGCTGAGCTGTGTGTCCTTAACCCACATTTGGCAGCGGGCCACGCCAGTCCAGGCTTGACTCAAACAGACTGCAACTGAAACTGAAACTGACTCTGAGACTGACTCTGACTCTGACTGAGTCTGAGCTTTGGGAGTATGTTTAATTACTTGTTAAATGTTTGTCGTGCTTATCAGCTAGCGAGCATATTTAAAAGCGCACAGCGCTGCCCATTAGCCGGCCAGACGTGGCAGAAGCTGTGGCTCAGGTGACATGCGTCGCAGTGGCAATGGTTGTGGCGGGGGCAGGGGACATGTGGCGGTCTATCGAGTGATTGTCCCAGCTAAACGTGCTCGTATCTGCCGGCTGACTACGTGGCCCAGCGTGCCTGACTCTGACTCTGGCTGAAATTAAAATATTATTGGCGGCTCAAAACGTTACAGGCAGCGCGCGCTGCATGTGGCACGAGCACTGGCACGTTTCAAAGACAAAAGCGCCACCCAAATGGTTTTGGCCTCTACCTCTGGCTTTGATCGTAGCAATTCATATTTCCCCGAAAAACTCCATGCACACGTGTGAGTGTGTGTGTGTGTGGGCATGGTAAATAATTGTTCGTGTCATTTTTAATGTGGCACATACAAATTCGACTATTTGAAGTATTTATGTATATCATGAGCTTTAGATGCAGCAGTCCGTGAGCGACTTTTGGCTTCCCATGGCTCGGCTAAGTGGCCCCAAACACGCCTTAAAGCTGCTAGCTGTCAGCACACTCATAGCCAGAGTTCGTTTCGTTCACTAGCTGGCATTTTATTGTTCCAAGCTCAAAAGCGAGAAAATATGTGGTCCGCTTGATATTTAGCAGCCGTGCATGCGGCAGGCAGCAGCCTAATAAAGACATCAATTGGACGATGACTCAAGCTCAGGCTGAGGCTGCAGCTGAGCCGGCGACTGAGGCGGCGACTGAGACTTACGGGTAAGTGCAGGCGAGTTCCTGTAAAACAAGCTTAAAATTAACTGCGCTCGCAGCGCGAAAATGGCAACGGCAACAAAGGGTAGAACATGCTACATAACTCATCCATAATCAACACTGTTTACATAAATTTCAAAAATTATTACACGGCAACAGAGATGAGAGATGCGAGATGAGGGACGAGAGAGATGGGAGCTGCAGGAGAGACTGCAAGGGCCCCCAGACGATGTCTGCGGCTGGGCCGCGGCTCGTGATGAATGCTTAAATAATGCGCTTAACCCTGTGCGAACATAATTTATGGTGTGCAGATATACATGAGTATAGCAATACGAGTATATGACTATATGAGCACATGGGCTTGAATATGCGAGCTCGGGTCCGGCAGTGTCCCATGCAACACACGCTGTTTTCATTGTTATTACACGGACATTGCCGTTGCCGTTGCCGTTGCCGCTGACCGCACGCCCCACTCCAGCTCCCGCTGCTGCCACTTTGCTCAAATTGATTAATTACGGTCATTTTTGCAGCAGCAACAACAGCAGCAGCCGCAGCAGCAGCAGCCACAAACGCTGCATAAGTAGCATAAATGCCATAAGAGATGGCCTGGAAGCCACGTTCAAACTTTAAGTCATTTGCCAGTAAGGACAAAGCCGCCAAAAATGAAATTACTCAAGCGTAGCGAACGGCCCACAGACGGCGCAGACGGACATATAAAGCGCACGCGAGAGACAGAGATACATAGAGAGAGGTGAGAGGGAGAGGGAGAGAGAGAGAGAGAGAGAGAAACTCGAGTCTCAGCATCAGCTACGGCTTCAAGCGTTGACGATTTTGCCGCTATGTGCAGCAATTGATTTAAGTTACTCCCGAAAACTTACAAAGTGATTGAGTGCGCGAGAGACAGACGACGAGATGGGGAAAGAGACAGATAGCCTGGCCATATCTTTACGACATAGCGCATAACTACATGCATAATGATGTATATAAAAGTGGCAGGAGGCCTTTGGCCCCTGCTGCCTGTTCAGCTGCCCATAATATGCATTTTATGTTGCAATAACAAATTTCACAGTACAAAGTCGGCGCAAAAGGGTTAAGTGCAGGACACTACGCTTAACACACTGGAGCCGTTGTCGTTGCCGTTGTCGTTGCCGTTGCCGTTGCCGTCGCCGTTTGCCTTGGGCGTCTTATGCTTGGCTGCATAATATTGAAATTAATTAGTTTTGATGGAAATTATTAAGTAATTTTTATGCTGGCAGCAAATGAGTGCAGAGTGGACGATGCTGCTGCTTGTTTTTGTTCGCTTTGTTTTCGCATTGTTCCTTAATTATATTTATTAAATAACATAATAAATTAGCGCTGCACTTGTTGCGCTGCCCGCTCCAATTAAGGAAGTGCCACTCGCTGCAAAACTGAACTGAAACGAAACCCCATCAACTGAGTCTGAGAGCCAGGCCAAATTGGCTATCGGGCGACCGGTTATGATGTATTTTTCCTCGTTGATAAGGGGGCCTTAATTTAAAATCTGCATACATTTTTGGGTCCGTTGCATTTTGCAATGACTGGCGGGCTGGCGGATAGCCGGACTGGCCGAGTGGCGGGCCGGCGGGCAGACTCTGCCTGTCATCCGAAATCCGCCAAAATAAAAATCAAAATCAAAATGACAATCAAGAGCGGCACAGGTCGCCTTTCTGACAGATCTCACGTTGGAGTGGACGTCGGAACTGTCAAAAATAACACTTGAGCGGTGTGGAGAAGCTGCAGGTTATTATTATTATTATATTTTTTATATTTTTATTTCATTTTTCCTTTATACATGCGACTTTTTTCATTTTTTTGATACTACGGATTTGCCTTTTTGGCGGCTTTTGATCTGAAGTGAAGGTAATTTAGCAAACTTCAACTGCCACAAAAGAAATTGCAAAATAATAAACATACACACACACAGGAACACACTTGAGCCCTTGGCCAAAAGGGGCCAACTATAAGCCTTGACGAGCTTAAGATAAATGCATTCGCAGTTTCACTTTGTCCGACATTGTATGTGGCGAATTATGGCAGATCTTGGCGCGATCTTAGCGCTATCTTAGCGATATCTGCTAATTTATATATGCTGTATAATGTCTCACAGCGCAACACAGCATTTACATAGCCCGCTCATAAAGGGCAGCATAAATATTAGCTCTTGGTTTTAGTAGCCGTCATTGATCTAACGCTCTTTGTTTCGCTTATCTTTACGGCTCAATTTGTCTTTGTGTCTATTGCGAATCATTAGCGTAGATTTATGAATCGATAAACTCATACACCCATCAGCCTTTTCACATGCAAAACAGTTCAGACTACGCTTCCATTGCCTCGTAGGCCGTGAACCTTTCACATTTACACATAACTTTTGGAAAGTTTGATGTTTACGAAAATGAACTGGAAGTTTTATGGGAACATTTGATATCGCAACCAAAGTTCTTCGCGCGGCCATTAGCGATTTGCAAATGTGCGTTGTTATTTGGTGTACGCACATCGACTTTATCGGCTTAATGATCCATAATAAAATTATGGCCGCAATCAGAAATCAATAACAGTTTTTTTATCCACTCGAGTTGGAGAAAGTAATTATTGGCCAGTCAAGTGGCCACGACAGCACCAGCAGCTTATCCGATAAGAGACAAGCTGGTGGATAACATAGCGGCTGCGGCTCAGATGAAAGCGGGCGGACAGGGCCAGGGGCAGGGGCAAGGGCGTGCTGGGGCGTGCGTTAGGCTACGTCCTGTACGCGCCTGTGGCTCGTTTGCGCCCATCGTCACTTGATTGAAGC